GGGGGGATATCGCTATCGACCAGAGGTGCCTGGAGGAGCTGCGCGTGCGCGCGGGGTACAGCGCGGCACTGCGGAAACAATCCTCCGTTTTCAACCGGCGGTATTATTACCCAATCCGGCGCTGGGAGCGCCTGCAGCCGGTCTCCGCGGAGTCCCTGAGCGCGACGGATGCGTGGTTCACGGCGTTAGCCGTCGAGGCCGGATATTACGCAGGGGCTGACGATGCGCTGTACGAGGCGAACTCCCACAACGACGTGGACGCCCGCCAGCCGGTTTCGCTGCTAAGGGTGGAACCCCTTCTGAGCGACTCGCGAGGGGGGAGAGAGGGGCCATGCCCGGGGCCGGAGGCGGCCTCCGGACTATTTACCCGCGGTCGCGATCTCCCCGGGGATGCCGACACGGCGACGATTTTCGTCAGCATCGCGAGCTATCGCGACCCGAGGTGCGGATCAACCGTGATGGATTTGATGCGCAAGGCCAAAAATCTCTATCGCGTAAATTTGGGGATCGCACAGCAGAATGCCGTGGGGGATGCGAGCTGCCTGCCGGATCTCGTGTTTACGCCGGTGCCCTGCTATGCGCTACCCGTGAGCACCGATGACAAGGCGGCTAGCCTAAAGTCGGGTGTGAGGCGTGAATCCTCCGACGACTCCGTGCAGTCGGTGTGCTTTTTTCACGATAACATTCGCATCCGAGAAATCCGTTCAAGTCAGGCATACGGGCCGACCTTCGGGCGCTTCATGGCGATGCTTTTGTATCGGGGAGAGTCGCTGGTGATGGTGTTGGATTCCCATAACCGTTTTAGGCTGCACTGGGATTCGATCATTGTCAATTCATATTACCGGTACGAGGACCCCAAAGCGTTGCTCTCGCACTACCCGCCTTCTGCCACCGATGATGCGAGTGACATCCACTCTCGTGATAAAAATAGCATCGCTTATCTGTGCAATGCCTCCTTTGATGAAATGTTAGGGTATCCTGTCTTAGCGGGGATTCTTATAGATTCACCGGCACGCTTCCACTCTAATCTTCGCTACAACGACCCATACGTGGCGGTTCAATCAAAGAATATCAAGCCTTCGGATAACTTTCGGCTTCCTCAGCCGTGGGCTGCGGCGGGTTTTATGTTTGGTTCCGGTCTCATCATGCGCGAGGTCCCATTTGATCCGCACCTTCCTCATATTTTTCGAGGTGAGGAGATACTCTATAGCATGAGGTTGTGGACCCATGGGTACAACATATACTCCCCGCCGTGCAGTATTTTGTACCATTATTACGATCGTAGGAATGATCCAAAGGTGTGGGATGATTCACCGATGTGGAGCACCCTGGAGAGGCGGTCAAGAAGGCGGGTGCATTATTTGATTCGGGGTCGTTTTCCTCTTAAGGCGGGGGAAGTGTTCAATAATTACATGGAAGCTCCTCCGCGCGTTCTGCCGTCGACGCGTGAGACTGAGGTGCTTCTCGATGTGGAGCGCTACGGCATGGGGAGGGTGAGGACCGTTGAGCAGTGGTACAACTACGCGGGTGTGGATCCGATTCATCACACTGTGGATGGTCGATGGTGCAAAAATATTTACATGTCCAAGTAGCATCTTATGTATATATATATATATATAACTTTATATCTTATGCATATACATGTTTACACACTATTTACTTATTTATATCGATTCAGCAGTTTCGTGATACACTGTAAAAGTGTTTTTTTCTTTCTTGATACCGCAAAATAAATTTCAAGGATATTAATATACCTGAATTCGTGATGGAAATATAGTTTCTCAAGTTCTTAATATTATCTCTTATTACTTTCAATTTACCAAAAAACATATTTATTATCTTTATTGATAGGACATATAGTGGATTCGCTTGTTTGGATTCCATGCACACGTGCCAATTAATATAGATATAAGAAGTATGCAAAGACTGTATCAATAGCGTAATTATTTTACTATTCTTTATAATTATTTTCTCGACTTGTGGAAGGAGTGTGTATGCTAAGGCATACTTTGGTGTTATAAAAAGTGATGAATTCTGAGTGACTTATGTATTATAGTTAAATTCTTGAACGTCTTTGGAATTTTTCCGACTCATGTAAGGATATCAAGCTTCATTCTTTCATTAAGATGGTGGTTTCTTTCCACCCCACTTGCTTTTTTCAACACCTTGCGTGGATCCATTGGCAACTCGTCAGAATCTTCGTTTTTTAAGTGTATACTTTGCAATTGTTGGAATAGACAACAGATATCTGATCGGAGTTTCTTTTTGAACTTATATTTTGCCGTTTTGTACATTGAATCAAAATATTTATTATGATTGATTTATACAAGAGCAAGACCACCATATGTATATTTATTATTATTGAGCACAATCTTGTATATTGATATATTTGTTGAGAATATATATACTATGACACCATTCTTTTATCCTCTAAACGAAGCAGCTAATTAACATCAATTTTTTTTATTATTCTTTTAATAGCAAAAGTAGAATAATATTTATCTATATAATTACTGGATCGTACTTTAGATATTTTCTGTGTTATCCATTTCAGACTTATCTTTTCCACCATTATCTACAAACATATTTTGCTAATATTTTATGCGCCTGTATGAAGAATTCAACTCATTATTGTTCAAAAATTGCATTATATGTGTGTGTATGTAAAGGTATAAACCAGTAGAAGGAGGAAAGAAGAGTTAGTGATAAGTCAATATGACATCTGAAAGAGGCATACCCCTTTTGATGAGATACTCAATTATTTTACCCCCTTCTCTATGACTCATAATAAATCACATTGAGTCTATGACATTATTTTTGCCACAGTTATTGTGTTGTGTTTGTCTTGGGAACGTGTAAAAATGCATTCTCCCCTTCTTACAACCTCTTTTTCCGACAAAGTTCCAAGATCACTCTCACTCTCTTAATAGACCGATTCACCTTTTCTTTTTATTCCCTTTATTCTTCGTTGTTACACACACGCGCAGGCCAATAAACAACGTGTGTAGGGGTGAACATCACGCACTGTGACATAACCCAGGGTGACCTCACGCACTGTGACATAACCCAGGGTGACATCACGCACGGTAAACACGGCAAATCAGGCATGAATGAGGCCGCTGACTGCATTCACCGCGCAAACACCGCGGGTGACCTTGCCAACCTCGTCCGCGCGGGCGAGCGGGTCGCAGGGGTCGACCGCCGCTGCCGCGCGCTCGCGGATTTGCCAGAGCGTCTCGCGGCGGAGAAAAGAGGGGTAGACGAGGAGGATAAAGGGAAAGGGGAAGGGCGTCGGCGAGGAAGCTTGGCGGGTGTGGTTGATTGCTTCGCGCCCGGCGAAGTCGATCTAACGGGTCCCTTACCCCAGGAACATACCACCGGGTTCGAGCCGCGAACTCATGCCGCCGTGACTTTTTTAGAATCCCTACGGACGACGCTGGGAGGAAGGAGGCGGGAGACTACGGATGTTAGGATCTCGATCAAGCAAGCCCTCATGGCGGTGGAGTCGTTGGTGGATGTGGATCAGCTTGCGAGGGCCGTGTTTTTATTGTGCCGTGTCCGCTCCGAGCTCCTCATTTACGTACAGCCCGCTCGCAGTGCGCCAGGCCATGACCATCCACGCCAATCAGCTGCAGAGGTGAGGGAGGAGCTTCCGGCATCTTCTAAAGGGAAGCTTCCTTCCACCAAAGCCTCATTACTTTCTTCAGCGCCATTTCTCGCACATAATGCAGACCCAGAATGGGATACTCTGGAATCGATGACGGTGTTTTACGCGAAGAAGGTTCTTCATACGATGCGACGGAGGCTAAGGAAGGATGCAGATGCCGCCGCGCATCTTTGCTTAATGCTATTGCAGCTTCGTATCGCGCGGGATGAAGCGAGCTTCGAGGCGTTTAGCGTGGATATAATGACCTCCAACGACCGCCAGTCCACCACTACCGAGGGAAAAAATGAAGATGAATCCGTGGTGGAGGCGGCATCTCGCATAAAGGGAAAGGATAAGGAGGATGGTGAGAGGGAATACGTTGAGGACGCAAAGGAAATGGAAATTCATGCTGCCCTGGAGGAGCTTCAGAAGCTCAGCTTAACACGGCTAAGACGTTACCACGCCGCTCTGCGCTGTCTACAGCCAAGCTCAACAGAGTGGAATAGCACAAAAGGAGGGCTTCTTGAGGAGGTATTTGGACTATGTGTTTCTTTCTTTCCATCGGAAGAGGTTTCCACCCCGGAAGGCGTTGGGAAAGGACATATATCAGAGGAATCAAGGGATGCCTTTTCGGAGCTAAGATCTCGTCTGAGGCGAATTAAACCGAGCTCTATTATTACTTCCTGCGCGGAGTTCACAGCGCTCCCGCAGTCTTCAGAAGAGAAATCCCTTCCTACTTCTTCTCCTCATATTCCTGGGGCTCATCCACCCTGGATGCGCTCTAAAGGAGAAGGATACCACGATCTTAATACTAACAATGGAAATGATGACATGTTAGAGAGATCTACAATGGAGTTTTTAGTTCTTCTAGTGGAGTCAATCGTGCTCGACAGCGCCTCGGCCTGCATGCAGCTATCGACGTGCATCCAGCCCAAGGTCGCTACTATGGACTCAATGGATTCAAAGACTAGTGAGGCATCCTTCCCCATCCCGGCAGCTCAGAGCCTTGCTTGTCATCTTTCTTTACCCGCGTTTTTATTTTCTGCGCGCGAAACCCCAGCCTCGTCGCCACGGACGGTAAATAACTCGTGCACTGCACTGTACCTCGCCTTCCACGCCCAGTATCTTTTCCATATCCTAGATCAGTACTTCTCGCACCTTGTAAGTGAGTCTGCCTTGGAAAAGGGCCGTAAAGGGAGTGCGATGCCCTCCCAAGAGCCTCCTCGAGGGAATGTGATAAGACCTTCAAAGGCTGCTATTTTCACGCCATTAGTTTCGTCGGTCGGGGAGATGACTGAGGTGGATGTGGTGGAGCCTTTCGGGGCGCGTTGGAAGGGCGAAGGTGGAAGAGGATTTGTTGATCTCGCCGAGGTTGCGGTGGCGGCGACGCTGCGTGAGGTCTGCCCAGGGGATAACAATTATTATTATCATAATAGTAATAATAACATTAATGGTATCAAGGAGAGGGGAAGTCTTTCCGTCGCGCGAGATGCAAGCGAGATGATTTTGCAGAGGTTATCTGCCAGACAGAAAGTGTTCGGTGCGGCGGCTGGGGGGGGTCGGCATCATCCCCATTTTGAATGGCAAAGCTCCGTTGAGGAGGGCCTTTCTTCCATCACAACCATAGGAGAAGGGGATGCGAATGCTACCAATACGAACTTTAGAAAAGGGGAGGATATTAACGCCGTTGAGGGAAGATGGCGGCCTCTTCATGGACGGGCTTCACAACAGCAGGTCCAACGCAGCACCTTTGTTCGCTACTTGTTGGGAACAATTAGCGGAGGCGAGGCTGAGGCCTTCGTCTTCCCCTCGCAGATTTTTGAAGATGCGGGGGGTAAATTTATTGAAAAGAATCCTTTTGGGGGTTTGACGATGCAAGCGGATCACAGCAGGGAAGGACCGCATCGCAGCTTCACTGCTTTCTGGGATCCCGTAGTATCCTTCTTCAAGCGCGCTCAGGAGGAGGTTTTGCAGCCTTTTGTATGCGCGGTGTTAAATGCGCTTTGTAATGAACCTCTCGGGCTGGTTGCCTATCATATCCTGCAATATTCGCCGGGAAAGTCTAGGCTTGGCGCACCGACAGTGGGAGTTATGGAGACTCCTGTTAGTTTTTTCTGTTATGAAAAGTGGGAGACGGCATTATTGGATGTGATTCGGGAGGCTCTCACGCGAAGCTTCAACACCGCCCTCTATCGCGTGAGCGAAGTTCAACAAAAATGGATAATATCTATCGAAAATATCACAGGAGATCACACTTTGAGGGATGAAATGAGGAATTCGCTGTATTTATCGCCCTCCTCCCAGCGATTTTTCCCGTATTCATCGTTAGTGTTATCCTCGGTGTTATCACCCACGACCTCCTCCTCTTTTATTAAAACTCCTTTCCATTCCAGAGCAGCTGTTTTGGAAGGATCCGCGCAAGAAATGGTAAATTCTCAGACATGCAGCGGAGATCGTAGTGTTGGTTTTTGCTCAGAATGGATGTTTCATCAGCAGTCTTTTGCATCGTCTCCTTTGGGGCGGCTTCTTTCAGGAGCTTCACGAGGGAGGGAAGGCGAACCAAACGTGAAAAATCCGGCGAAGAGCGCGCGTATTGGGTGTGATGGACACCATAATAATATTACTATCAGTAGCTGTGCTTTTCGGCAGGATGCTTCGCTTGGCGGCGCTTCAGATTCCTTATCTTTTCCTCCAGGATTCACACGGCAAGGGGCCACATTGACGTTGGATGCGCGATGGTTCGCTGTCGATTCCATTTTCACTCCCGCTGATTTCCACCGCGGCGGCATAAGTAGGGCAAAGGATCACCTTACGTCAGTCCATTCCGCTGATGAGGGGGAAATGGTGGCAAAATGGGCTGATTTCCCCTTTTATCATCGATCTTATGAGGAGATGCTATCCGTTCTTGTGCGCGTGATTGCGGGGATGATGCGGCTGATGGCGTCGTTCGAGGGTTCCGCACCCTTTTCGCCCTCTCCTGACAATAGGGAAATGGGTAGGAAAGAAACAAAAACGATTGATATGGCGGAGCTCCTGGGTTTGCTATTCACGTGGATGGAAAAGACGGTGGAAAAATTGCGGAGTGTGGAGGCGGCTTGGAGTGCGATTGTAGAGCAGGAGCCATTACCACTAGTTATGGAGAGCACAGAGGAGAATCATGGCGAAGATGAGGGCGAAGCGAAGAAGAATGAAAAGACTTTAATTTCAGAATCCTCCGAGCGTGCGCGGGCGAGTGTGTACGTACGATATACGCAGCGCCTTCTGAAGCTTACTGAGGTCGCTGGGGCTTTTTTAAACATCACGGAACCCCTCGCAACGTCTTTATATCAATTTTACGACTGTCGACGGCGACCTCCACCACCATCTCAGGACAAAATTCTATTAGAAAATGTAAATGAGGAGGGTGAAGATTCCGTAGTATGGGGTTTTGCAAAGAGTTTTTACAACCTCTGCGAATCTGTTGGGGTTCTTTACCAACGCTGCTACCATCCATGGCAACGATTGCTTCTTTATGAGTACCAAACCGGACTTCGGCAATTATACGCGCAGGATCACGCGCGTTTGTTTGCGATTCGGCGCTTATTTTTACCGCCCTCGGAGGCCCCTACCGACTCCTCACCCCAGATGTCTCTTGGGGAAAGAGAAATCTCTTCCGTGTTGGCGCCTTCTTATTCTTCCTTTTCCCTGCGTAAATTAACCCCTGCGCAGCGGAAGAGGTGGTTTCGACTCGAGCACGCCCACCGCTGGCTATGTATGGGTCCGCATTGCGAGGATCGGCTAACGACGGATGGCCATTCCGATCCTTCCCAGGATAACCCTCTGACCCATTCACGAAATGGGTCGTTCGCGCTTTCCTCGACGATGGTTTCGCCGTCTTTTTCCACCACGGACGCGCACACCGATTTCTGCTGTTTCCCCTATCAGGTCACCGATACGTTGATGTCTCTTGTCTTTGCCCTACAGTATCTTCTGACGGCATGCCGCGGGAAGGGAATTCGTTCATCGTGGGTTCATTCGTTTTCTGCAAGGGGTGGGGGTTGGGTTCGAGGAATGGGTGATTTTCTCGAGCATACAGGGCCGCAGGGTGGTGATCGGGCGGCGTGGATCGAGCTCTTTCGTAACCTGAGCATGATCTTGGACGTGCGAAATACCATTTTTCGGCAGGGAATTGTCGGATATTTGAATACAACCTGCATGGTATTGGAAGAGAATGTTATTTTTTCCTTAAAGGGTAAGACCTTGGAGGATGATAAGAAAGCTGAAGTTACCATACCCGTGGAGGAAAAGTCAGCGGGATTCGTCGATCTCATTTCGGATGCCATGCTGCAGCTTTATCTGGACTTGATCTTTCTTCTTCGTGTGGGGGAGTGCCGATGGCATGAGGCCTCTTCACAGATTTCTTTAGAAAAACGACGCCTCATTCCCGGAACCAGTGATGGAAGAGACGAAAAAGATATCGCCCACGCATTCCGCCAGGCGAAGGGGCGTATCGATCGTATTTTACAGCTTGATATTATGGAAAATATGAGGTCTGACAAGGATGGGATTCACTGGGAACGTCTTTCGCGAGCCATTCGCGAGGCCGCAGAGGGACTACTACGGCGTACTTCCCTCGCGGCGGGGCTTTCCCCTTCGTTTTTGGCCTCCTCCTCGGTTTCTTTGGATTCGTTGCCATCTATTCAACCTCCCGCGAGGGAAGTAGAGCGGTTTAACCTTTTAGGAATCGCCTCAGAGGCGTTTTTTCAGGTCTCCACGGAAACTCGTGTTGGAGGGGGGGGGGCCTCCACGGCCTTTTCGAGGCGCTTCGCGGCCCCGCCAAACGCGAGCGCGATTATTGCAAAGTCGATGTCTCCTTCCCATTTTCCGACTTCGGTCCTCACCAATCACGCCGGATTTGATCCCGCAAACAGCTCTTCTCAGCTTTCCGCGAAACCTTCAACTTCATTCCCTCCTCCGGATCACCCTAACGTGTGTTCGGGAAAGGAAGAGCGAAAGGGAGAGATGGCCTCACCGGCCTCGATGTTGTGGGGGAGTACGCAGCGGGGGTGGAATTCTCTCTGGGGTGTTTAGCAGAGATCATAAAGGATGGAGTGGGTATGGTTGAAGGGAAGGAAAACAAGAGAACACGCTAATCGTGATATATATATATATATATATATGAAAGAAAACTAATATGAATCTTTTTAACAAGAGATGGTACCAAAACTTATGTTGTCGTGTTAGCTATCGCAGGCGTTGATGAAGTAAAACTATTATTATTATTATTTATTTTTATGAGGTATAGTGTCCGGATCTACGAGCTGCTGCTATGTGCACAGGATGCTCCCCATTGCTTTTTTTGTTTATGGAATATGGTGATGGCATAGGCATACCCTGGTATTAGAATATTACTTTAGGGATACCAAAGTCTTAAAATCACATAATTTTTTCAAGAAATACGGAACAAGGCGGTATATAAGTAGCCATTTTTTTCTGCATTTACCGACACCTGAAAGGATAGAGCTGAATTTACTACTTTTAAAAAATACTTTTATTCACCATCTTTTGATAGGTTAAGTTGTATTTACATTGTGCATCGGCTATTCATGTGTTTCAGTTAGATGAACGGCTGAGGTTCAGGAAATTCTAGCAATCTTTGAGCATTCAGGCGCATTGCCATTTTGGAAACGCATGTAGTCACACACCAAAAAAAGTCAATGCGTTCATATTTAGTGCGTGAAAAAAACTACTTTCCAGGCTATGTGATAGTATAGAAAATGTTCTTTAGGTTACCTGAACTGCATGCGATCTTTTCCATGATTCACCAAGAGAGCCTGCCACCTTTCGAAGCTTTCATCAGAACAAAACAATTAGATTATTGAATCTCTGTCGTACGAGGACTTTATTTAGTTACCAAAGAATTCTTGTTTAAGAGTTTTGATAGAGCTTATGATCGATATATGGATAAAATGAGGTCCTTCCTTGTGGCGGTTAACTGAGGGAGTTGATATGGGATGCTCTCTACTTTCCTGAAAAGAAAGTAGATAAACTTCACTAGCAACACGAAAAGATCTCCATCTTATGAGTTTTCTGATTCACCAATTCCAACTACTTTTTTTTACTTTTATATATATTTTTTATTAACGTGGAGTTCTATTATTGTAATTTGGTGAAAATTCTGGATTTTTTTATAATTATGATTAAAACGACAACACCTAAAAGTGTATGGAAATTTGGGTTTGATAGTGAAATTATTATCTATGATCATTTTATGTGGTAATAAATAAACAATTTGAATAAAAATACAATAGTGAAAAAAGTTTTCATTTCTGAGAATTGATACACCTGATTTTCATACTCTACTATCTCCTTTTAGGTTTTTAATTCTTTACCATATAACGTCAGGGAGTGCTCAAGAGTAGCCGAGCCTTTTTCTGAATAAAACGCTCTAGTTAAGGTAAAAATCTCAGAAATATTAGATCAAACAAGTAATACACCTATACAGTGTGTAATTTTTTTAAAAGGGATTTTCTGTTTCTTTTTTATTTCATAAGAAAAAAAATAGAAATTAAAAGGGCACACGACATTGAACTGACACTGTGTCCCCCTTTCCCCCCCC